CAAATGATTCCAAGATCTTCCCGTCTGAAAGATCCTTTGTTATCCCTTTGTTATCCCTTTGTTATCTATTGTGCGTTGTTTTCTTCCAACTTCCAATTGTTGAACTCGTTGCAACTCGTTGCAACTCGTTGCAACTCGTTACAAGTGCCTGTGATCTCAGGAGACCTGTTACAGAACCAGAGACAGGCGCAGCCGCACAGCAAGACGCTGTCGGTGCACTTGGGCGCTGCAGGATCTCTTTGGGTGATGCAATGCATATGCATTATATGCATTATATGCATCTGCATTATATGCATTCGTTTCGATGCAATGCCAATTGCCATGGCGAAACTTCTCTCGGAAATACCGAATGAGCGCACCGAACATCGATAATACTGTACCGATCTGTACCGAATCAGCGGAATAACCTCAGCAGAGAATCCACAAAATCCACAAAATCCACAAGGCCAAAAACTCGGGAGTTGTTCTGAGCGGTGAAGTTGTTCTCGTTGGCATTCCGCGCCTTGACACAGCTGGGCAAAAGGTTCCCAAAGCCGAAGGCCCGACAGCGAAACAATTTTCAGAATTTGTCGCGGCCTCAGTCGAAACTGAAAAACTGATAAAACTGGTTCAGCCATGTTCAGCCAAGACTGTAAGACTAACTGTAAGATCTGTAAGATCTGTAAGATCTGCAAGACTTGATTTCAGCATTTTCAGCATTCCATGACCATTGCATCAAGACTCCGTGCAAAATCTTGTCGTTGCACAAAACAACATTATGGATATTCATGGACCATTCATGCTCCTGCTCGATGGCCCTATAGACACTATAGACTCTATAGCACATTTTACAATTTTGTACAATGTACAATGATATGTTGTATATTTACAATATCTTACATCATGGATATGTTGCGTGAACATCTGACCAAATCTGCTGGTGGCCACGCACCAAGGCTTCAGTGGATCGCGTTTCTAGCTCGCCATGGGCTGACTGTGAATCCAAATGTTACCAGAAAAAGAAGCCACAGTTTGTCAACAGAAATAGTTTTTACACCGTGAGTAACTTTTCTCAAATAGTCCCGATTCTCCAATCAAGGGAAATGAAATCTCCCTTTCTCCATCTTTCGCTCATCTTGTTTTTCCCATGCCACGATTATTGTGGCAATGCTCCAACGGCACGGCCTGCCCGCATTTTCAATTTGACTTAGTGCTCTCCGCTTGTGCATGACATTCAGCACACAGAGACCAGGGCGGCCGGGAAGGAAACAAAGCCAAACTGAGAATCAAATTGCAAGAAAAACTTAGAAAAATTGCTCATTCAGAATTGCTTAAAGGCATAATCTTGGAAACTCGGCCCAGATCTGGTTTGTCAGCAGAGCTGCCGCCCACAAGTTTTGGCTCATGGCCAATCAGGTCCCAACTGGGCCCCTGACTTTTGCCCTTGGGCGTGTGCATGCACAGTGAAGGACATGAGAAGACAATTCTATCACAAATTGTATCAGAAAGTGCCTCTGAAAGACAAATTTCAAGTTATTTCAAAGACCTTTCAAATTTCATTGCATGCCAAGAAATGACAGCTTTGGTAGCCACACGGCTTGACGTAGATCAAGGGCCGTTCCTTGTGCCGTTCCTTGTGCCACGATGCCGAAGCATCAAGCCGAATGCACAGTACCGTGAATCGGAACGTTTATTGAGCCTTAAAAGGGACGTAGATAGCTGTGGCAAAGAAGTCGAGGCTAAGAATGTTTCCGGGCAAATGCGACGTCCAAAACAGCATCGGTTCAAAGAGGTACAGACTGAAACTCTGAACCAAAAGCTCCAAAAGCGTTGGAAAATATGTCAGGGACTTCAAAGGATTCCGGGATTGCCCGAGTGCCAAGTTGTCCTCCGCTTCACCAAAGTCCCAACAGACGGACCGTGGAATGAAATGGATGTGGGGGTTGTCAGTACAGTTCTGCGGATGTGACAAGCCTCCGCAAGCGGCCGATGTCTTGAAACTTAAAAAGCTCGCAGCCTCTGCTCGTCGAGGTCAAACATAACTGACATTCACTGACACTAGGGTGATCTAGGTGTAGGGAGTGTGAGGAACGACTTGGAGCAGTATGTATTGTTTACATTTGCGGCAATGGAAAAGAACGATAACATGGAAATATCATGAAGTGTGACTTGGCCGAAACAGAATGAACAAGACATGGAACATATGGAACAAGAGTAACAAGAGTGAGATTGTTTTGGTTTGGAGGTGGTTTGGTGGGGTCCTTTTTGGGTCGCTCCCCGATCTCGTGCAGTTGGATGCCACCTTCTGGAAGCGAACCGTGGCACCCTTCGTCCAGACCTTAGATGGAGCAGGACAAGTTAGACAAGTTAGAGAAGTTTCAATTGTGAAATGTCCATAAATGTCCTATATGTGCCATGGGGGATGGTCATGAATTGGGATTTGTATTCTGACAAGGATTCCCGTTATGGAACGGATGACCATACCACATATACCATGTTTTGAGCATGGCACATAGGCTCAGATATGCTCAGATGTATAACATGTGGCCTTGGTATTTGGACTGCTCTTGATTTGATGGAACGAAATACTAAAATTGCATTCTGCCATTCCGCATCGCATTCTGCATTGCATTCCTAGATATTGCGCAGGCTCTCGTCTCAGTGTACTCTCGATAGGTCGTTGAGCGCAAGCCCCGGTGTCGTTCCATCGCCAACTTCCCGGGCTTTGAGCCCTCCCGAGATGTGCACGGCATCCCAGTGTCCACCAGTGTCCACCAGTGTCCACCAGTGTCCACCAGGTCCACCTATTTCACACCTACGGACCTATGATACCTATGTGGAGCACAACATAATCCAGCTCTCTGTGGAATGTTTTCAGTTTCTTACATCTCCAACTCCGTGAACACTTTCACTGACTCCTTGCCGTTTGCTGAATGATATAGATGATGTAGATAGCTCAAAAGGCTCGGCTTTTTGTCAGGAACTACTTTGATTGGCGTCCACCCACGAGCGGCTCTGCGTTCCTTGGCCACTTTCAGAACACGGAAACGGATGTTGAAAACTGTTGAAAATTGTTGAAATATGTTGAGTTCATACTGGCCCACAGCTGGCCAAGAAAGTCCAGAGTCTAGAGATACCCGAGATATGAATCTGAAATCATTCTGAAATCATTCTGAAATCATCTGAATTAGGAAAATTTGGATGTTTTCAGTATGGTTCGGTATGTTTCGGTGAAGTTTTCAAGGAAAAAGTCTCGACGCAGCAGATTTCAGACTGGCCATGCATAAATCTCTTGGAGGTTTGAAAGGGGAGCGGGGACTTGTTGCTGTGAGGACATCACAAAAGTCTAGGACGTCACACAAGTCGAGGGCATCATCGGTGGTTCCTGAAAAACTTGGACAGGCGGATTAAGTGATTAAGTGAGACAGAGAGATAGAGGAAAGGACACTGACTTGAAAAACAAGACGCCTTGTGACACAGCATAACTGGCATAACATAGCAATATATAGCAATAATAGGAAGAGTATGGAAAGAGTATGGAAAGTATTGGAAAGCCCTTGTTGAGTTCTCCACTGTGAATCTCAGCAGGCCCAGCTGTATGAACTTCCAAGGAGCAGGTGTCGGTGACTTGAACTGACAGATCAACCCTGGTAACCTGGCACCCAATTCTCCATGAGAAGATGCCAATGAGGGAGTGATGAGAGCGGGAGGAAGTGAGGAATTGGAAAGTTTTGTCGACTCCAAAACTTTTTGGAACGGACTCTTCGCATTCTGTGATTCGAGCTGCAAATTCGCCCGAATTTACGCAGGCCTACGACTGGTCAACATTTCTGAGGCACAGCCTTCAAAAGGCCTTTTGAGCCAATCCTTAACTGATCCTGATCCAACAGTGTCTAACAGTATCAAACAGTATATCAGTATATAACAGTTCTAATCATCATCAAATCATCCTAGGTCCCATCATCTGGTGGAAGAAAATCATCGAAAATTGGTTCAGCTCGTCAGATTCTTTGCGAGTGGTCTCTTTGAGATGGTAGATCGTTCTCAGACTCAGATTGGTAGTGCCAAAAGCTTTTCCAAAGCTCCGGCAAAGTCTCTGCAAATTTAGCCATGACTTGCATCAGTTGCCAGTTTTCCTAATGAAGCTATGTGTGATTTGTTTGCTCATCCCATTTTCATGTGCATCAAACACCACGCAACCAATGGCAAAGCATGCCTGCCTTGCAAGGAACCTCACGCATAGATCATTTTTTGGATCATTCTAGATTTTACCATATTTTACCTTTTTGAGTGAAGATTTGCCCAGATTTTGCCCAGCTTTGCTTGGCACCTGTTTAGTGCAAGGTCGCCTCACCTCTGGGGAATTTCGCGCCTGTAGCTTTGTCAACAAAGGCTTTTGAACCCTTTTGAAATTAAACTTGTTTCAAGTGTGAAAGGAATCTGAAAAGAATCCTTCGGGGAATCCGGGAAAAGAATAAAGAGAGAGAGAGAGTGGAAAGAGTGGAAGAATGTATGGGGACGCCACTTCGACTCACCGGCCGATATTTCAACCTGAAATCATTAGTTCTATAGTATTCTATAGACAAACATGTTGCAACTTATTGCAACTTAGAGGTCTCTGCAACAAATGCCTTACATCCTTGAATCAGGCTGTGAGGGTCACAAAAAGAATGGTTTGCTTAGCTGCTTAGCTATTTGATTTCGATACACAGATCAGATCTGCATGATTTCGATACCCAGACATTGAACTTATTGAACTTCTCAATACTCAGCTGATTGGCGTGGAAGGTCCCACGAGGGCTCGGGGGAACTGAGACTGCCAGCAAAGCTGGTCCAAGTCTCCACGAAAAAAAAAGTATTGGTGAAAGCGTCTAGGAAAGCGTCTGGATAAAAAAGTGAAGTATTGGATAACGATGAAAAACACCGGGGCGCTGTTTGCCCAATGTCCCAGCTGGTGTGTTCATTCTTGCACTTTGTTCAATTTGTTTACATCATGCTCTCCAAACATCTCCAAACCTCGCAGACGCAGCGGTTCAAGCTCAGATATCCAGTGGCAGCAGCACCCCAGGGATCCCCAGGGCAAAGATGATTGGAACTCAGGCTCAGGAGCACCGTGAAGTGCCAAAGTTTTTCGATGGATCAAAACTAAGATCTCAGTCATCTTAGTCATTTTAGTCAATTTAGTCTAGACTATTCCACGCTAAACTTGACAGTTTCTCACAGTGGCAGGATTGGCCAACAGTACATCAGTACCTGCCTCAGAGAGAATCATATCTGTAACAATATCGACGCCTGATGGCTGCTGATCGCAATGTGTTTTCAGGTCGGCTGAAATGCAGGCATTAAGGGACTATGTGACTGCAGCAGATGGCTACAGATATGCCAATCAAGTTTCTTTGCTGCATTGTAAGATACAAGTTCTTACAGGTTGTCCAAGTCAGAGACAGGCAGCATTGGATTTGGGCAACTCTGCAGGCTGCGAGCACATTGCGGCTGGACGTCACACACTCCAATCTGATTCAGAGATGGCATGACCTTGTTTTCGACAGCAGCATGACAGCACGGCGCTCAGAGTCAGAAAGCATCAGAAAGCTAGAATGTTAGAATTCTTGGCAACAACAAAGTGCAAAATGATCGAAATGCAGAATGTGCAGCATGACGCTGTCACCTGTCACTGCCTGTCACCTTCAAAAGGTTGGCCGAGTCAAAGAGAAGCTGGGGCCCTGGGGCCCTGGGCACTTGGCATTTTGGAAGCTGAGCTAGGGCACCATAGGGCACCATCGTTGCCGGTATTGCCGGTCAAGTCATCCCCAGCATACTGAGGTTGTACTTCCATGGCGGCACTCCAGCAGAGCACCAGGACTCGTTTCGAAGACGCCAACTTGTGAAGGCAATGGCAGACATGATTGCAATATTTCAATATATTTCAATATGTTGCAGATGTTGCAGTGGACTGCTGGACTTATTGAGCTCTCAGCACTGGATCAGATCGACCGGTATGGTGTGAATGTGAATGCAGGAGCTCTACTTGAGACGAGGCGGTGGCGACACCTTGTTCCTCTGGGACGATGCTTGTCGTGTTGCAGACCTTACGACAAACTATTAACTGATATATAACTGATATTAACTGTATAAACAGCTGACAATTCTCAGGGCAGGGCCACTTCAGATTGAACACACACCACACAACATGTACTTTCACCATGTACGGTTAGCAAAGTCACAAACACTGAGACAACATGAGACAACATGAGACAAGGATAGTTGATCATGTTGATCGCACCAAGGAGAAAAAGACTCTGGCAGATTATGGAGTCAAGTGAGAAGCTGAGTTTCCTTTGGCGTCAAGTGGCATCAATTGACATCCAAAATGTCATCATTTTTACGACGTGTGAAAACCATGTGAAGACAGCCAAGTGCCGCAATGCCGCAATGCTTGAGGAATGGTATGGAGCTCCACATCAAGGCAAGTGGGCACGAACACTTTGACGGCCATGGTGCCCGCCAACGCTACGGAAAGGTAAATCTCAGCTCGAAGGGATAGATTACCCACAAAGTATCACAAGCTCACCCGGCTTTTCCAATGAGACTGTCTACAGAGTCTACATTGAAATGTCATTTGATTCAAGTCAGATCAAGGTTTTCAAGAATATCGCCATCAGTGTCCAGCAGCTTTGATCGCGTTTGGACAGGACACAAATCCCTACTCCTTGTCCGCAAACGGAGGATTGGAGGACGTGAGTCAGGCAGGAGAATTTGATTCCATCAATTAATCATAATTAATCTATTTTACATCATTTTACACTTTTTCACAAGGCGATACAGATCTTAAGTTGCAGATATTTAAGGAGTTTGTTGCATGCTGTGATGACTTTTTGCATTGTACTGCTCAAAGACCCCAGCTTGAAGAATCGCAGACAAGAAAGGATTCTGATCACCGTGAAATGTTGATGTTTGTCAAGGTTCAGAAGTATGTCATGGCAGACGAGGACAGATATCAAATTATAATGTCATGTCTTGTTGCCAAGAAGCATGTTGTATTCTTTGCTGCCTGTGCACTCTTCGAATTTGGCCCAGAGGCAAATGTTGCCAGTGTCATGTTGAAACTCTTGCAGGAATACGACAAGCTTGAAAACAGCGTTCGAGCAGTCAAGCGAAGAGAGAAGGAGAAGGTTCAATCAGTGTTGAAGTCTGAAATACCAATGGACCAATGGCACGAATTAGTTATGCAACATGCTGACTCAACATTGTCAACATAACATAACATATCTTAACATAACTCAGTCTATCCTAACCTGTTTGGACATAGCTTGGCATATCTTAACATATGTTGACTTCCATATGATTTATATATACTTATTTGAACTGTTTGACCAGTGTGCGACTGGGACGTCGGCCTGTGTCAGGCTGCAGCAGAACGAGCTGCTCGGATAGCTGCTGGAGATGTCAGCTTCACAGGACTGTAGATCGGAATGTAAGGTTGATCGAAATATATCGAAATCATGGATTACAATGTAGATTTATGTAAGTTCTCGTAACTTATTGGTCTTGATGCTCCAAGGCAGGAATTCCGCGAAAAAAAACTTCGAAATTTTGACATATTCGCGCTACGTGTTTCGACAGACGAAGTCATTGAAGAAGAGCCCAGTGAAAGCATCGAAGAGGCTTGACGGCCTGAGTGGATTTGACTTGAAAGAGTCGCGGATCTTCAAGAATTGTGCATGATTTTTTGTTTGACTTTAGTATCTTTAGTGTGTTGCTGTCGCTTTCCTTCTCAAAACGCCCAGGTTTCAGCGAGAATAACAGTAGGCAGCCGGTGCCAGGTCAGCAGCGGATTGGCCTTGATTTTATTTGATTTTTGTAATTTGTCATATATTGTCATTGTCATTATCATGTCACATGTTTGGAATGTTACAAGATGTTACAAGCCTCCTGTATGCACTGCCCCTTGCTGCCCCTTGCCAAAGATTTGATCATCTCTCGGCGACTCTCTGTCATTGAACCCGCACAGCGTAAAGATGTATAAACAGCCTTTCGACATCTTTCGACCGCAATCGCATTTTTCTGCAAATGTGAATGGATTGACAGTCTTCTGGAAGCATGACTACTGGGGCAACATTTCCTGTCTGCACTCTAGCTAGAACAATCAGGGCACCGCAGTGGCAAGAGAATGGAAGGTTGCTGCAGCTTTCATGTGAAGAATCGGAATGGGAGTCACTGGTAGTCATTGAAGAGGGAAAATGTTTGGAAAATGTTTGGGAAAAACTGTAAGACAATATAAGACAATAAAAGACAATAGATAAATATGATAACTTGTTGATAAAAATGATAAAACAACAGTTGTAAGACACTTTGCCAGGTGCACCCCGGCGGCCGCCGTGGGGAGGTGGCCTTTGTCGGCAGTGTGAGAGGTGCCAAGGCGCGAGAGCCACAACATACACCACGATGCAAAAAAAACACGAATAGGACACCAAGAATGACATAATATGACATATATTATGACTCAATGACACCAAGACACCAAGACACCAAGAATTATTCCAAGTTGTGGCGCTCAGGGCGTGTGGATTGGTGTCGGCTTGGATGAGCCACAGGGTGCAGCACCAAAACATTTGAACGGCCCGCAGTGTGACTCATGGTTTTGCAATGTTTCGCATTCGAACATGTCTGAGGCAACAATGATGGCTCAAAGGCTGGAGAGCACTACTTCGATTGCAAGGGCGAGAAGTACGGTTGCTTTGTTCGACCTGACAACGAGCCTTGGTCAAATTGCAAGAAATTCTTGGCACTTGAAGTCACTTGAAGCCTGAAGTTTTGCCAAGAGCAGTTCGATTTTGAGTTTACTATGCTTACTCAGTTTTCTCTTCAATTTCGCACTCTTTGGCATTTCCTTTGCGTCATCTCCTGTCTTTGCATCCCGGAACAGCGTGACGCAGAGGTCGAAGTGGGTGACTTCCCAGAGTTAGATCCTTTCGCTTCAGACGAGGAGTTTTGAGTCAGGCAGACGAAGGGCCAAAGTAACTGCGCTTCAATTTCATGCAAGGTTACAACCTGCCATAACATGTGCTGCAAAAGTTATAGTTCTTTTCAGCTTCTTAGCTATGATGTCCGAATCGTAATAGCGTCAGTACATCGCTCAATACTACTCAGTGCACAACAACTGCCTTTTGGTTTTTGAACAGACAACTCATTGTTGACCGATTGTTCTGGA